CATCATCGGGCCGCTGCAAGCAGAAAGAGACAATAAGTGGACGTCGTTTGGTTGGGAGTCTCCTCCTGTCACTTTCTGAAGATATTCCTGGCTCTGGATCTGTGGTTTGGAGTTTCCTGCTGTCCCCGTGTTCCTGCTCTGCTACTACTCTGCATAGTCTTATTGCTATCATAACTGCTATCATTATCATTAGTATTAATATCATTACCATTTTTCATCCATTATATGTGTTACAGTAGGCTGCCTCTCTCTGTCCTTCTCTCGCTCTCTCTCTCTCTCACCCCCAACCGGCCGAGGCAGATGGCCGCCCACCCTGAGCCATGGTTCTGCTCCAGGTTTCTGCCTGTTAAAAGGAAGTTTTTCCTTGCCTGTGTCGCCTAGTGCTTGCTCATGGTGGGAATTGTTGGGTTTCTGTAATTAACTCCAGAGTAGGGTCTGACCTGCTCTGTTTGGAAAGCTGTGAGACAACTGTTGTTGTGATGTGGCGCTATAGAAATAAAATTTTATTTAATTTAATTGAATGTTATTATTAGCCATTGGCCGCAGCTAGCAGTTCAAGGCTAACGTCTTGTTAATGATCATAATAAATACATAAATAAATCAGAGAGAAGGGGGGGCGGTGGTATCGATACATTTTTAAATGAGTATCGTATGTGGGAGCCATCTTGCACTTTTACTTTTGAGTAGTGGTAATTCTGTTTGTTTGTTTATTATGAATTTGTTTACATTAGTGATAGTTTCATATTTTGGTAATATTCTTTTTGTAATTCGTCTAGTTAATTGTTTTGCTTTATGTTTAGTCTTTATTTGTTAATTTTCTAATTGTAGTACTTGGTTTTAGACACCTTGGGGTAGTGGTGAGCACAGGTAAGGGTGGATATAAGTAAGAAATGGCACACACCTGTATGCACCTGGGTAGTGGACACATGGTTTTTTACCAGTGCAAGAGGTTTGCTCACGTAAAAAAGCAATAAACTGCCTAAATGACAATTCTTCGTGGAATCATCTTTTGCCTGCTTACGATACCAGCCCAGGGTGCCAGAAGTTGCCGTTTGTTTTATTTTAAGTTTGATTTAATTTTCGTTAAAAGTTTGTTTGACAAACGGCTACTACAGGATACAACATTTTAGTATCAATACTTTTGACAACCCAAGTGTGGACGCCATCTGTCTGTGTGTCTCTGTGTGTCTCAGTGTGTGTGTCTGTGTGTCTCTGTGTGTGTCTGTGTGTCTCTGTGTGTGTCTGTGTGTGTCTGTGTGTGTCTGTGTGTGTCTGTGTGTCTCTGTGTGTGTCTGTGTGTGTCTGTGTGTCTCTGTGTGTGTCTGTGTGTCTCTGTGTGTCTCTGTGTGTGTCTGTGTGTCTCTGTGTGTCTCTGTGTGTCTCTGTGTGTGTGTCTGTGTGTGTCTGTGTGTGTCTGTGTGTGTGTCTGTGTGGACGTCCCCCTACCTGGGCTTGAGGAACTCCACGGCGGCGTTGTGCTCGGCGGTGCGCGGCGGCAGCAGCCGGAGGCTCCATCCAGACACGACGCCGTCCAGGCTGCCGAGGGCAGCCTCCACCAGCCAGGGGAAGACCAGGTGCAGCTCCTGGGGTTAAACACATGCTGCTTTCTGTAGAGAGTGAATTCTTACCAAAATCTTTATCTTCCTTTTTTTTTTTTTTTTTAAACTACAGTGGGGGAAATAAGAATGCTTATTTTTCCTCATCAGATGGTTATCAATTTTTATAAATCCATATGATGTGATTTTCTGGAATTTTCTTTGGGATTCTGTATTTCACTGTTAGAATGTTCATATGATTAAAGTTATATATCGTTGCATTCTTTGTAAGTGGGCAAACCTCCAAAATCAGCAAAGGGTCAAATACTTATTTCCCCCACTGTAGTTTGTACATTGGGGGAAGTTTAATACAGTGTATTCTGGATCTGGATCTGGGATCAGGAGAAACTGGGGCTCCGAGACCTCAGACCAGAGGGAAAAACGGGTCGTGGGACCCTAATTCCAGCTTTCAGGTCTCAGTGTTACAGAAAACTGAAACTGTAAGTTTAGAAACACACGAAGAAGAACTGAGATGAGCTGGAGCTGCTCATCCAGCTGTTTGCAGCTGGGCTCTGAGACCCAGACACATCCAGAACCCCCTAAAAGGGGAAAGTCCGGCTCTGTTTTAACAAATAAGGACGCTCCTACAGCTGTAACAGACCCTGAAGGCGTCTCTCGTGATGGTCGAGGTTTCTAAATCCTTCCTGCCTTTGGTCATCAATCTGTACAACGCCTGTACAAGGAATTTAGTATATATATATATACACACATGTATAGACATGTATATACAGGACTGTCTCAGAAAATTTGAATATGGTGATAAAGTTCTTTATTTTCTGTAATGCAATTAAAAATCATGAAATGTCATAAATTCTGGATTCATTACAAATCAACTGAAATATCCAAAGCCTTTTATTGTTTTAATATAGCTGATTATGGCGTATAGCTGAAGAAAACTCAAAAATCCGATATTCTAATATTTCGAGATAGGATATTTAGGTTTCTTAAGCTGTAAGCCATAATCAGCAATATTAAAACAACAAAAGGCTTGCGATATTTCAGTTGATTTGTAATGAATCCAGAATGTATGACATTTCATGATTTTTAATCGCATTAGAGAAAATAAAGAACTTTATCACAATATTCTAATTTTCTGAGACAGTCCTGTATATGTATATGCCTTTGTTTTACTTATGGAGCCTGTAACAAAAAATATTTCCCTCTGGGGTTATTAAAGTATTTCTGATTCTGATTCTGATAACAAGCTCTGAGTTGGCTCAGACACACAACTGTTTTAACAAATAAGGGCACTGCTACAACACACACAGACCCTGAAGGCGTCTCTGGTGATGGTTCAGGTTCCTAACGAGCTCTGAGTCAGCACAAACACACAACAGACACACAACAGACCCACAACTGTGTCGGTACCTTGGCGGGATACTCGTCTATGACCCGGACCAGGTCCTGACATCTCTGCAGCAGCGGTTTGGTGGTGGAGTCGGCCTTCAGGTTTGCCTGGAGAAAAAAAAAGCACATCACAGATGAACCCCATGGCGCAAAGAGGGTCCCAAAGAGGGAAATGGAAAATGTCTCACCAGTAGGAAACTGGGCTGCTGGAGCGTTGCAGCGGCCATTGGCGGGCGTCTGTCCCCGGGAACCGGAGCCCCAAACCGGACCTCAGGCTTCCGGTTTAACCGGTGGGGAGCTTCGGTCTAGATCTCCTCAGAAAAAACTAAATAAAGGCGACCGGGTGGAGAAAATGGAGGAGAAGCTCGTGAGGCGGACTGTCAGTGAACGGACCGTTAGCCGGTTAGCTGTGATGCTAGCAGCGGGAAACAGGCTGAAACTAGCTGCCTAACGGCCGGAAAACTAACCTGCTGCTCCGGTAAAATCTCCCCAAAAACACCGGTCCGCCTTCTTTCCCCTCACAGCTCCAGAGTTTCCGCTACTTTAACTCCCAAAAGTTTCCATAAACTCAAACGGTTTTTCTGAACGTGCGGCAGTGGCGGATCGCTGCTGATTCTTCTTCGGTGGTTTTTTAACCGGCGGAGGTTGGTATTCCCGTCGTTGCTCTTTACCGCCACCGTGTGTTGCGGCTGAGTACTGCATCCATAATAATACTAAACATGCGAAAATCCACCAAGTAAGAGGGAAAAACTGTCTGATTTTGTTTTCAAATATTTGAATATTTATCTTCTAATTATTTAGATAGATATAGATTTAATCTACTGTTTAATATACAGGAATACTGCTGTTGCATCCAACCAGTTGTCATTTTACTGAACTAACTATTTATTTAACCTTAATTAAAATTCCTTATTTGAAATTAAATCATTCAAAACTATCCATTAAATTTAGATTTCTTTTTACGTAGATATCAGATCTCTTTTATTTTTTGTCACTTGTTTTGTTTTATACGGTATTTAAGTACTTGATATTTGTTAATATTTTTCTATATATTGTCATATTTACTTGTGTTTCATAACTGTGCTGCTATAACAAGTCACTTTCTCTTCCGTTGGATCAATAAAGGGCTATTCTGTTCTATTCTATTCTGTTCTTTTCTATTCTGAAACTCACCCAGACTGGCAAACTGACTTTGGTTTCTTTATAGTTTTCCAGGTTCACTGAAATTCTCAGAGTCTGATTAAAGGCCGCTTGACTTTCTGTCTCTAATTGAAGCAGATGGAGGTAATAAATCCTGAAATGGAGAAATAACTTTGTACTGCTTTAAAAAGTTCCTGTTCCACTAAATGACAGCGGATTTGCACATTTTTAGGCTGAACTTTCACAGAGTTCCTGTAATTTTCAGGATTCGTGTCCCAAATAGATCAGGTAAATGTCAGCGTTCCTCACAGATTTGTTGGTGTTTTGTGGATATTTTGGTCTCCAGGACAGAAATGGAGCCTCGCGGAGCAGAACGCTCACAGTTTTTCATTCGAAGGCGGAAGTTGTACAGAAACAACAGAAAACAGGACGCGTGTTCTCGTGTGTTTTATTCTTAGTGGAAGTTATTCACAGGCATCAATTACATCCTTATCACTCAGTTTATCTCAAAGCGTATAAAGGTTATAAAGTTCAAAACGTTTATACAAAACAGATCAAATGCATCAAATCTGCTGGATAAACGATCAAAGACACCTATAAAAAATAGAGTTCTTTAATATACATGATGTGAAAGAGCTTTACAGAATATTTCAAGCAGGGTCTGTTTTTGTGTGCGTTTCACTGAGGCTTCAATCACAAAAATACACGAAGTAATGCGTCAGCTTTA